CAAAACTATCATTGGTTTCCCGAAATACATGGTTTCGGTGACACTATTGTTGCCGCCGTGTGTTATCATTAGGTCTATGATTGGCAACACTTTCACCTGAGGGACAGTCCTTTCGCCCCACATATTGTCCGCCAATTCGTATTCATTGTGTTTAACGCCTTTTGAAACAATGAATTTGTGTTCAGATTTGGACAAAATTGCAATCAATCTCTTCATAAGCGGTACATTTGCCGAACCCATTGAACCCAAAGATAGATAAATCAATTTTCCGGATCTACTCTTGAGTTTGTCCGGCAATTCAAATGTGTCTTCATTTCCGCTTCGTTTCATACAATCAAAGCGATGAAAAGTCTTCGGCAAAGGCCTGACATCCGTGTAATCGAGTTCTTCGGGAAACATATAGACGTTAGCAAAAGGCGAGGGAACCCATAACAGGAAGTCATCGGGAACTAATGGACTGCCATTACTAATGAGCCAATCCTTATATTTAAACCAATCATCTTTTCTCGCATTCTTTAACTGTTGTCTGTATTCTTCCCATAGGTTTTTGTTACTATTTATAGACAAACCTAAAAATTAAAAATAACAAATTTATAACAATTATATACAGTATTATAACTTTTTATAAATTAGTATTAATATATTACTACATTTTAAAAATGTACTAATATTTCAGACCTAATATCGATGGCGGGAGGCGTTTGTCTTCGTAACCCGTATCCAAAGACAATGGATTACTGCTATAACTGAATATCCAGGGAATACCCGAACCGGCAATCGATGGCAGAGTAATGATATGATCGGTAATAATAACGTGTGGTTTCAGGCGTTTAATTATTTGCTTTAATTTTTGTTCGTCTTTATCGGAATCGTGTATCACATCATTCAATAGGATTGACATACACTCCAACGCCTTCTCCAACGGTGTCTTGTCCTCCAAAACTGACTTCAATTCCTCGGCGTTAGCGGCGGCCGAATCGCCGGTCACTTCATCGGTCTCTTCGGTCAATAACTCGACCTCAATGTCAAGACTTTTCAATCTTTTTGACCATTCGTTTCTCGCGGCGAAGACCACTCGATGTCCGCTATCTTTGAGCACTTCCGCCATACCTATGGATGAGTTGATGGGCCCGACATAGTTGATGGGCACAAACAATACGGTCAACTTACGGCTCATTGTTTTTGACACTGTAATATAAATTAACTTATATAGAAGAATGTTTTTAATTTTAAAAATTATAATACTTACTCCTATTTATATAGTATTTTCACAAAATTAATTTTTAATGCATCTGTCAATTATCTATGTAATCTTTAAATTAAACGGACATGTTTTATTTTAATGCTGTTTAAACTTTAAACAGATTAAGTGATACTATTTATGAATGATATATTGAGGACATTTAGGACATAACATTCAATTTCCTAAAAGATATTTGATAAAAATGTTGAACAGTATTGAAAAGTATCTGTGAATTATAAATAAGATTCAATTTATAAACAAATTACAAAATATTTCACAATTATATTTAGAAAACATAAATTAAAAATGATATAATTTGAAATTATTTTTTATCAAATTGAATTAATCTTTAATTGATTTAATAATAATCTCGATTATTAAAATGTGTTCATTATTTGAGTTATACAATACGTACCAATAGTTATATTTTATCAAATATCTGTTGTACTCAAAGTCACTCTTAAGAGTCTTAACGGTAAAATAAATGTTCACATATTTTTAATCTTGTCCTTCAAATCAATTTGCTTTAATCACTAATCATTATAAATGTTTTTTTTTATGTTTTCGTTGTAATTAAATAAATAAATAATGATTATTGTGTCAATCAATGAGTTTTATAGCAAGTTAATTATATTTAATATTTAATTTCTAATTGAAATTTTAATAATAACGAATTTTAAGGTCATTATTAGGCTGTAGTAATAGGTGTAAACATTTGTCATATTTATAAATATAATTTCACAATCAATCTGTAATACGATTGTTAATAATAAAATGTGATAACATACAATATATTAGCATATAATTTAATTTAATTTAATTTTTATTTGTTTAATTTATATTTATTGTGTGAAACAATACAAAATAAATCATTTGTTAAATTAATTTTTATTTACTTTAAAAATCAATTTGAATATTTCAGACTTTTGTCAATAATGATCTTTTAATGATAATTTACATCAAATAAAGTTTATATATAATAAACAATTTATAATCTCATTATTATATAAATAGGAGTTTTACATATTATTGACGAATCACTAAATCTATTAGAAAATTACAAAAAAGTCAGTTTCTAATCAATTAATTTATTCATTATTTTTATAATTAAATTTGTTTTTCAACGATACCTTATTTTAAGCCTTTTCTCTGTAAAAATACTAATTATATTTTAAAATTTATAATAATAAAAAATACATCACATTCATTTTGAAAACATTGATTTTTCTCTGAGTTTTTGTTATAAGTTATGTCTAAATTATGAAATTATAAAATCTATAAAAGCTTTTCAACAGAAACCAAATATCGAGTCCTATTCTCTCTATTATAATACAAAATAATCTTATTTTCAATTTTTATTTGCGATTTTCTCGGAAAACATTTCTAAAATTTAACACAAATTGTTTTCTCTGAAATATTACAAAATCGTTTGGAAACTCTATTACAAGTTGTTTAACAAATATATTTTCCAACAATTCAATCATATAATTGAGTGAATTAAATGAAAAGTCAATAATCAGTGAAAAACTATTCCTATTCAGACATTTTGGCGAAAAATAGGACTTAAATCAATAGATAAATTAATAGTCGGGCAAAAAACACACAAATACTGTACATGTATTACCATTAAAATTAGTTGTGTTTGTGTTAAACAACAATTATTTTCAATGAATAGGAAAGTGTAAATACGAGATAAATTAGACTCACGTCTCCCCATACGGACTAATGGTATTGTGTTTTCTTACGTGCGTTCAGATAATTGTAGTGAGAATTACAACTAATTCTCAATGCATTCAATGAAAATGCAAATTAAATGCAATACAAATGTGTGTTTGCATTGCATTCACTCCTTATGAACCAAAATGAATATTTTAAATAAATACAACTATAATATTACATGTAAAGTAAATTCAACAAAATTGAAGCTTTTATTAATGTCATTTTTACATTTCAAATATAATTAATTGTGAGCAAAACGTGGTAATTATCACATGTTTATCATCAATAAGCGTTTATCCCTATATAATAAAAATGTAATTTCATGATTATCAAATCGAAAATTTTTCACAAAATATTATATTTTTTAATGTTTGAAATTACCTTGCACTTTTTACGACAGGTCCCGGCCTTATCGGGATAGAGAGGGGGAGGTGTATAACAGATGAGACCATCGCAACAACTGAAGCCAGCGATTCCGCCACATATTTGGGTTGCATTACTGCAACCTTTGAATTGGGAATCAATTAAATTGTGGCCACAATTTGCAAACATTAGTTTAATACTAAATTATACCTTCAGCCAAATGGTGGGCACAGAGTATCGCCAAAACTAAAACTATAAATTTCATATTATTAATCATCGATTTGTTAAACTGTAAGCACTTGCAATAATTTACAAATAATTTCTGTAATAAAGTTATTATTGAATGTGTTTTGAGTTTATATACTTTTGTAACTTTGTTTGTTTTTTATTAAAAACAATTAATTAAAAATATAAATGTAATAAATACCCGATTAAACCACATTTTGTTTTTTAACATTTTCTACCGCTTTTATAAGCGATTTACAAAAAATAATAATAATAAATCATGTAAATTAGGTTATGTCTAAAAATGGGCAAAATCGTTTAAATTGTTTGAAAACACAATGATAATTAATTTTATATTTATAAGTTTTATTTTATATTTATACATAATACAAATTATTAAGGGTTATCCTAAGTTATTTTGTTTTTTAGTATCTTTTCACTTTGAAAATAAAATAATTTTTAGTCAGATATTTTGATGTAAAATTTTCCAAATAATTCCAACTGAAAAAATTCTGTCCAAAGACTATTCATTTGATCTTGATGAAACTTGGGTTCAGAAATGATAACTTAAATTATGAACCTAATTTCTATCTAATGATTACACGGCTTCATAGATATGCTACTTATATAATATTATCATTTCTATCAATAGTAACAGAGTTATCAAAATAATACAGTATTTACTTTTTGTTTAAATTATAACTGTTTAAAAAAATTATTAATTAAATTTTTCTGTTTACAAATTTACAACTAGATATTTTACCAAGTAAAAATTAAAACGATAACTAGATGTTAATTGCAATAAAATTGGATGATTATAATGTTAATATTGATGACAACAAACTGCATGTCAAGAATTTAACAGAACTTATGGGTAAATCATCTCAAATGTGGTGAAACGATAAACAGTTAATTAAAACGAGTGACCGATTTGAACATGTTAACATTTTCATGTCAACCAATGCATCAAAAGCAAGAATATCATCATTTATTTTACATCTAATAATTTTATTACAAATACATTGACTGAATTAAATGTGAAAAACTAAACATAATTAATTAACTTAATTTTTATAAAAACAATGTGTAATTTTTTTTAACAATTTTTAAAAATAAATTAAATCAATTTTGAAAATGTAAAAAAGTTTATATTGAAACAAATAACAAGAAAACTGTCACAAAATGTCAGGTTATGATTATCCATCTGATGCTGAAGAGAGCAGTTCCAGTGAGGGATCTGATTACTCATATGACGATCCCATGGAGATTGAGGGCCAAAGGGTTGACCGGGAGGTGAGTCCAGTTCGTTGGGCTTTGAGGGGCACTCATATCAGTACATCACCGGTGGAGAGGGCCCGACACGGAGTCGGCCGGATGTCCATAGAGTCACCGCAGAGGCAGAACCCGGCAGTTGGGCCCGAATGGGTGCCCATTGAGAGGGCCAGTGGG